TCACGCAAACCCGATCTTACTGCGAGACAAACCTGTTTCCAGTATTTTAATTGCAGATTGTTTTTTTTTCTTTATTTGGAGGAAATTAGTAAACTGACATTATATAGATAGAAATAAACATAATATAGCGATCGCAGAGACTTCCCTTAAACGCGGCCGGGTTGCACAAATGCTGAAATTGTTGCTTATAGTATTGGCTGAATGAAACACGAGGAAGTGTACTGTACTCGTGATGAATAAACGAAAAGAATGAACTTTAAAATTGTTCTCTCCAATCACCCAATTCTTTCGGTCGCATTGTTATTGATCTTAGCTTGCTTTATGCTAGAGGAGTCTATGGGGAGCCGTGAAAATTACGCATGCCATTCGCCGAAAACGATTAAATCACTAAAAAAAAATTGTGAATTCCTTCCTTTTTCACAATATTCTGTACACTTACTTAAGCGAAATTCCTGTCAGTATAAACTGCTGAAATTAAGTGTTTGTAGTTAAATTTAAAGTTCTCAAGTTTACATTGTTTCCTCGGTGGTCTGTGTTGTTTGTTTGCTCTCAGAACATTCTGATTCTGTAGATCCTGTTTGATTCCTACCACAAATATTTTGTCAGTGACATTTACTTACAATGCCTTTCAGGTTCTCATATCACTCCGTTATTATGCCTCGGGGAGTTTTCTCAAAGTCATAACTGATACCATAGGAGTATCAAAGGCAAGTGTCAGCAGAACATTGCTTGCTGTCTCCAAGTGCCTGGAGAGAATGTCAGAAGACTGGATAGTGTTTCCCACAGGAAATACTGATTTGAATGTAAGTACTGTTTGAAGCTAAACTGTAAATTACAAAATAGCCAAAGTGTGGTAAGCTGTTTGAAAAATGTTGGCTTAAGTTTGTGGGAAAAGTTCAATTCTCGATGGTTTTTCTATCTAAGGCAAAGCAGGTGCTCTTACTGGTTGATTCATTGTCTACTATTTGGCCATGGGTGTATGCCTATGACATTTGTGGTTATGTGATGTAGCTCAATGAAAGGACTTCTTTAATGCTCCAATGCAGCAATGAATATGTTATAAAACAAGTGGTAAATGCCACAGCTGTACACTTTTGAGTTATGGATGTACTTAAGAGGTTTGCTAGGCACTCTAGCCTTCAGTTGCCTTGGGTGACTCTCGTGCTTCTTTTGGGCTCAGCAACCTCCTGCTTGCATCTATAACTCTATAATGTAGGCTATGGCATTTACCATTTGTTAATTTGGTTTAGGAATTTAACAGGTGAATCCAGGAACAAAAACAGTTACAAGGTTTACTATCTGGAATTTCTTTCGAAGGTGTTGGGAATGGGAGACATTTAACCCTTGAAGTCTAAAGAATAAGATGAGAGTATGATGCCTGAAAATTATAGAAATTGAATACTTTGTCCTTGTCCGACAGGCAACAATGACTGACTTTTACAATATAGCAGGAATGCCGCGGGTAATTGGTGCTGTGGATGGCTCCTTGATACCCATCAATAATAATCAGGAACATTTGTATGTGTGCCATAAGGGCTTTCATGCTATAAACACCATGGCAGTGTGCAATGCACAACGGTTGTTCACCAAATTTGTGTGCAGATGGCATGGTAGTGTCCATGACTCAGTCATTTTTATTGCCAGCATGCTGCACATACACCTAGAAGGCGGTGGCGGAAGAAATGGTTGGCTGTTGGGGGATCGTGGATATGGCATCCAGCCATATTTGCTGACCCCTTTCAGGCCCGATAGTGTGTCAACGCAACCCCAAAGGAAATACTAGAAGGCTCACACTAAAACACGAAACATCTTTGAGAGGGCCTTTGGCCTATGGAAGGCTAGGTTTCGTTGCCTTCACATTTCTGGTGGAGCACTACAATTCGAACCAAGTCGTTGCTGCACTATCATTACTGCAACTACTGTGCTTCACAACATGTGTATTTTGGACAACACACCACTCCCCGGTTATGATGAGCAACCATCTCAGGAACCAGACTTGGTAAATGAGGTGCCAGCTCACCTTCAAAGTAATGCTGGGGTATTGGCGAGAGATCACCTCATAAATAATATATTCAATTAGGTTGAGTAAACATCCATTGAAGGAACATCCAAGTTACTTTAATTATGTACCCACAAGCACCCTGAGCTCCCAATAACAGAAGTTTATTTTTTCTTGTTTTTACTTTTACTTGCTCTCTTTTTGTCTCTTTTTAAGGAAAATGTTGAATGAAATGCAACAGGCAAATGTACAATATTACATACCAACTGGTTACTGAAAACGCAAATTATGATTGAATCTAGTTTATATAACCAACTGGTGCAATACGCTGTTAACATAAATGGAGACTCATTATGTATTTGTGGTGATCCCGCTTATCCCCATCGTATACAACTGCAAGGTGTAAGGGAGCAAGGATGACACAGAATGAGAAGGACTGGAATAGTGCTATGAGTAGTGTGAGGGTATCTATAGAATAGATTTTCAAGGACAATCAATTACTTTAAATTCTTAGACTTCAAAAAGAATTTAAAAGTTCAACTCAGCGCAGTGAGGAAAATGTACATGGTTTGCACTTTACTTCACAATGCTAGGTGCTGCTTATATGGTTCAACAACTTCTGAACATTTTAATGTTCAACCACAAACTCCCCAAGACTATTATTTGTAAATCGGTCAACATTCATGCAACATAGCTCAAGCTGTCAGATCATTTTAACTGAAGCTCTGTAGGTGGCAACTTTTCATTTTGAAAAATACTTGACTGTTGTATTTTTAACCCAAATTTATTTTGTTACTTTTAAATAAAACCAATAAGTTGCGTTGATTTCTATGCACTGTGTTTAAGGTAAGTGACAGGGAAATGGACAGCATCCACTGTTAGGATACAACTTTTATTCTGAACATTTACAAATGATAGAAAATAATAAAATTATACCACTGTATTAAAGAGCTTGTATTCTATGAAAATAGAATGTTTGGTCTTTTAAAATGTCTACTTCACACAAATTATCCTTTTTTCTGCAAAATTAAAATGTGGCTAAGGTATAAGGATCACACTTTCATGACATACCTAAAATTTCTGCCTTCTGCAAAGTTATGGCAGTCCCAACAAGCAAAACCATACTAATGCTCATAAAAAATGAAAATAATGAATGCTCAGTTTCAAAATAATTTAAAAGTCAAAAGTGCCCCTAAGCATCCTTTGGCTTGAATGCACCTTGCAGTAAAGTTAGCAAAGCAGTATTCTGCACTTGCATTTGCTGTAGGAGCTGGTCCTGCTGTTTTTGATGGCTTTTGATGTTGTCTAATAACACCTTTGTGAGATTCTCTTGCTGTATCATGAGATTTTCTTGTTGGATTTTTTTCACATCAAGCTCAGCCTTCCTTAATTGAAGCTCCTCTCTTTTCAGGCTGGCATCGAATTCAGCCTTTTCTCTTAAGTAAGCGACAGTTTCAGTGCCTGTGGAACGCTTGCGTTTCTTTTGTTCTTGTTCACCCTTCCTCTTCTTGCTCTGAGCAAATGTTTCCATTAAAGCCTTTCGCATTTCAACTGCCTTTGCAGTCTCTTCCTCTGCCTTTCCCCTTTTTCTGAACCCAGTTGCTGATCTTCAGCATCTCTCTTTTTAATTAGTTCAACAATGTCTGTCATAGAGTCATCAAATGGTGTATGTTGCGGGGCAATCCCACTGGACTTTTCTTCTTCTATTATTTTATTCTTTTGCTCTTTCTCTAGCAGGATGTGGTGATCACGTATAGATTTCTGATTCACAGTAAACCTGGGAGATTCATGCTCTTTTAAGGACTCACTTATTCTCTCCCAAACTTGACTTCGCTGTTCACTTCCTCGTTTGTACTTCCAAGGTTCAAACAAATACATTTCTTGCAATAACACATCATTGTGTTGAACAGTCCACACCATTGGCCTTTTAACACTGTAAGGGCAAATATATTGTGAGGAAAAAGTTACAGAAACAATATAAATAGATTTGTTGTTTCCATTGTTACATATGACATCACTTTTCTATGAATATATTGCAACTAAAAATTTTGATTGTGCTGCAAAAAATATTCATTAATGGTATGTTGCCAAACAAATAACATACATTTGCTCAAAACTCTTACATTAAAATTTTAAACTTGAGATCATCAACATGGCTAAGAGACGGCTAGTCCAAATCAATTCAAGACTTCATTTCAGAGAACAGATGATTCAAAGAATGGCAATTTCATTAAAGCAGTCAAAGGAAAGATTTATAGTTTGATAATTCAACAAACAGCCTTTTAATTTTGAGAGCAAAAACCTTTCAGGTTACAAATGCCATAACTCTTTTTTTCGTTCTTGCTATTCTTTAGTATGACTGGTTTTGTTGACTGATTTCCCTGGATCCCTTCGTAGTTTAATGTGAGCAGAAAATTATTTTCGAGACTGAGCTCTGATTTCCGAAGAGCTCCAAGAGTAACACAACAACTATGCACAACAATCATGTGACTAAATTTAGCCTTGGAATTTAGCCAATTTGATTCAGAGTAGAAACGGATTAAAGAAAGATACAACTGAAAATTAAGTTGTGTCAGAAAAGAAAGAATATTCTAAGAAATGAAGGCTGATAGTTTCTAAAGAAACTGTTTGGGGTTGCGTCGGTGGGGGTAACGAAATAATTTGGATATATCAACAAAGTTGAAATGGTAAATTGGCCAAGTTATCCAAATTATTCCGATATCCCCACCGACGCAGCCCCAAGCAGATTCTTTAGAAACTATCAGGCTTTATTCTTTTTAGGTTAGGCAGACATTTTGAAGATACCTTTCAAGATATTATTGGCAATATTCATCTTCAAATTTTATTAACGACGTTCTTGTTCAAGTTTCAATGAATTTTTTCATGGGACTATTTAATTTAAGGCAAATGTATATTTTATGAAGTTCGATTTCAAATAAAATTTTACATCACTTTCATAAAAAACAAGTTCAAATTCTCTTCAAATGTTTAAAAAAGATACATGTTAGGTTATTATTTCATTAAATTATAAAATAACTTTAACCTGTATCTTTAAATACTCTGAGTAGATAAACGACATCAAGTCCATTAGGAAGGGCTACTTACAACATATCTGACTTCTGCAATAAACTGACGCCAGAGTCAGCTCATAATTCAAACGTACCATGACCGAAAACAACCCTTTTCACCTACACCTCAGTCCCATGCAAATCGATCAAGCACAACTGACCAATAGCATATAATGATATAAAACTTCTCCCCCTGCACTTTCCTGGCATATTCAAACAACAAAGCCTGTCGGATAAGGACGAGGCTTGGAAAAAAGGTCCTTCCCTGTACAAAGTTCCACTCCAGCAAATATTCTACACGACATAATATAAAAGTAGTGGGGACACCTTTAGTGAGAACTACTACTAGTTGAACAGTGACTGGGAAAAAGGGGAATAGATGGTCACTTGCCACAACCAGGGTTGGTAAGTACCGGTAAAGTTCTCATATTTTGTCTTTTTCATCCAGTTGTAAATGTACATCTAGGCCTGCAATCACATATTGGATCTATTCCATCTGGTCTTAGTGGATGTCTGGTGGCAATTTGCGCAAAATGTTGCATTCCTTAATTCTAATAATTGTTGTTTCACAGACCTTTTTCAACATGACTGTAATGGCTTCTGAAAAAAATATGATTTACATGACTACAAATTTAAAAATAATGGCCACTTAGACAACGATACCTATGAGAGAATTTATCCAGTTGGTTCTCAATCAGCCACGTGCTATGGGCTACCTAAACTGCACAACGCTCAGCAGCCTAATGAAACACCCCCTTTTCGACCCATAGTATCGTCAATAGGGACCACAATTACAATTTATCTGAGTTCCTTTGCAATCTTTTAGAGCCACACGTCCCACGTATGTACAACGTCCGCGACACGTTTTCTTTTGTACATGAAATCAATCGGTTATCAACCTTAGGGAAGATCATGGTCTCTTTCGATGTTTAGAGTTTGTTCACTAGTATACCTCTTGATGAATGCATTGATCTGGCGATCACATAAATTTATCAAGGTAACCCTGGTCTTAAGATAAACGCCGCTGACCTAAAAATGCTTTTTACCTTCGCAACAGCAGAGACCGGTTACTTATTTAAGGGTGTGTTTTATGATCAAATAGATGGGGTTGCCATGGGGTCCCCACTTGCTCCAGTACTTGCAAACCTTTTTATGGGACATCATGAAAAAACTGGCTAGATAAATATTCATCCTCTGAAGTTCTGTTCTACAGATGCTATGTTGATGACACCTTTTGCTTGTTCAATAGCGAGGAGGACGCCCTCGTGTTCATTGATTATATCAACACCAGGCACCCTAGTATTCGTTTCACAATGGAAAGGAAAATTGATAAGATATTATCGTTTCTTGATATATTGTTAGACAACAGTCATCCATCCATCGTCACCAGTGTATATCGCAAGAAGAGGTTTACTGGTGTTCTTACTAATTATTTCAGCTTCACCCCTTTGATTTACAAACTGGGCTTAGTCAGAACATTGGTTGACAGAGTATAGAAGATCAATAATTCCTGGGCTAGTTTTCATCTGGATGTTAAGAAGCTTATTTTCTTGCTACGGAAAAACTGTTTTCCATCTTGGGTCTTGGGCCATAGACTGGATCATTTACCGGTATCTAGCTAAGAAAAATAATCCTTCTCTTATTGGGCAGAACGCCTCATCTGACTCCGAGAAACCTTCTTCGCACTATTATAAACTTCCTTATGTTGGCCGGTTTTCAAAAATCGCACAGACAAGTTAAGACAACTACTCAAACGTTATTGTAAAGCTGATTTAGATGTTAAATTAGTCTTCAGTACGTTTAAACTCAGAAACGTGTTCAGTGTGAAAGATTCAGTACCGCTAGGTCTCCGTTCGCTTGTCGTTTATCAATTTTCGTGCGCTGGCTCTAATGCCAGTTCCACTGGTGAGACCACTCGCCATATTTGTACACGAGTTCGTAAGCACTTCTTGTCAGACAAGTCTTCGCATATTTACAGGCACCTGCAATCATCAAGGGCCTGTCTTGATTCTTGTGATACAGAATGTTTCACGATCTTCGATTCTGCCCCCTCAAAATTCCAAATTAAGATAAAAGAAGCATTGCATATTAAGTGGGAAAAACCCATTCTTAATCAGCAATTGAAGCATCCAGATTTGTCTCTTTCCTTTTAATTATGTTGTTCCTTTTGTCTTTTACTCATTTATTTTTTTTTTTTTGGTCCAGTTATGCGCGAGCTATTTTCATTTCTCGGGTATTTAATGTTCATATTGTAACGTAAGCCCTGACACGTAATTTATAACGTACCTTAATATAAATTCAAAGGTACAACCGTTAAAAGCTCATATGCAACTGAAGATGACATGAGAATGTCGAAACATGTCTTGTAAATTTAAATTTAAAGTTGTCGTTTCTATATTGAGAGTTACTGTCACTCTGCTGTCTTTACGTGTGTTTGGTAACACTATCCACTACAAATTTAATTTTCACATAACATTTTACAGCTCTTGCAGTGTACAACAGAATTCCCTCTGGTTTTGAGGCTCTGAGTAATCTAGGTATTCCTCAGCTACCATGTACGAAGGTTCTCAAGAATGTTTTAAAGGACGCTGCTGAGAAACCTGGAATCTATGAAAATTATTTCCAGAGTCAATGTGCAAAGTATCAAGAGTATCAGAAGCAGAGGGAGAGTACTGGACACCCACAGCCTCTTGAGATTGGAGTAATGCTGTGGGATGAATTCAAGGCAAACATTGTAAGTTCTAAAATTATTCTTATATCAATTTATTCTTCCTTTATTTCAATTTAATCTAATAGCACATAATTTTCAGGATTCCTTTCAGTTATTACCATGGCATATCAATTACATGTATAATATATCAAAATAGTTATGTTTTATTTTAATGGCAAATAAAATTTAACATTATTTTACACTAGGGTATACTCTGTAATTTGAAATCATTTATTTGGCTAATCTGAACATAGCCTGTATTTACCCATTTGTCTTTCAGATCCAGATGAAGGTTGCTTGGAATCTTAAGGGTGGCTCTATCTCAAGCTTCACCATGGCACCTGATAAACCTGCCTGTTTTAGATGATGCGTACACATTAGCCATCCAGAGTGGGTGCCAAAAGGCCAGCTACATTGTCCAGTTTCTGTGGAGGGACCTAACCTCGGGGTACGATTTGATTGGGCCTTACATCCCTGTTTCCAGTTGCTGCAAGCGTAATAACTGTATTATTTTCACCTCCTCGTTTTTGTGCATATGAACTTGATAAATAGCAGATATACTACGATAATGGCCACGCATATCTTAGAAGTTAATTAGATGATGAGACATTTATATTAAAAGGAATAGTTCAAAAATAAAGCATTTATGTTGCTGAATGTCATTTCCTTTAAAGTTATTGTTAAAATATGAAGATCACGGTCAAATGAAGCCACAATAACCAGGTAAAGCACAGCTGATTGGTTATAAGATATTTGTATATTTCAATTTCAACATTGTCCTCCAGTTGCTCCACCTTTTAATGATGTTTTCGAAAATTATGATGACGCTTGAGTAGTCCAGTGGTCAGTGCGCTGGAATCTGGGTCAGATGGCCCGGGTTCAAGTCCTGGATGGGGCTTGACGTTGTGTCCTTAAGCAAGACGCTTCACTCACATTGCTTCGTCTTCTCGGATAGGACGTAAAGCCGGAGGTCCCGTCTCCTGCATCTGTCAATTAGTTAATTTGGTTCGGGAGGGGACGTTAAAGAACCCACATCACGAGATTACTGTGAGGTGGTCTGGCTTGTTTACTGGGAATTGGGGGGAGGAAGCATCTGTAAAATTTCTTCTTTATTAGTTCTAAACCGCCGCCGGCAGTCTGGAAATGTCCCATGCACAGTGTTGTAAAGCGCATTAGAACAATGTATGGAAATTCCCTAGAGAAATTGATACAATTATTATTAAAATTATTGCATGCATACTGATTAATCTTCTCCAAATAGCAATATTTTTGTTTCAAGCTGAAAAATATGATAGCTCCGTTGTACAGTTCAAGACCCACTGGTTCAAAGAAACTGACATTGGAGGGAAGACAGTTTGGGTGGGAAACTATTGAGAAAATCTATGATCAAGAAATGAAAAGAGCAGAGACAGGAAGAAGCCGTAAAGTCCCTGGCTTGAAGTATGCCTTTGTCTACCGAGACAATTGGACACGATTAAATGTCAAACCAGCGAAGATCATGCAGGTGATTGCAATATAATGTTGCAGATCAGAAAAAATATCTTGTGTAATTTATTGCGTAAAACAGCCGTGTCATTGGTGAAATCTCCATAGGTTCCCAAAAGAAGTGTACTAGTGCCTTTCTCCACCAAAATTCCAAATCTATACTGAAGAAATGTCACATTGCAGTGAAAATATTCCATTTTCCTTCTGATTTGTGGCAAACATACATGATTGCAGCAGTTAAAGACCTGTCAGATGAGCCTACAGGTAATCAGGATAGTACTAAACTGGTGGCCAACTATCTACAAGCATGCAATCTGATTTTTGAGAATGGTCTCTTGAGCAGACGCAGAATCAACAGTTTAAAGAGCTCTGTCATTCACAATATAAAGGGAATAGATTTCCTTGAGAAATGGTGCCACAGTCTTGAAGAAACTAGTATGATTATTTTTAACATTATTTTGAGTGTACTTGTTTAATAAATTACAAATACCTGTACTTTACACTTAAGGAGCCACACATAATATCTTAATTAAACAAATTAAAAGGAAAAACAGCTGTCACTTTCTGGTTACTTGAGAGGGTACATAGGGTTAGCCTTCTAATAGAAACGCACTTACCAGTATTTTTGAGATAAAAAGAATTTCCCTGCTTTAAAAATTTCATTTCTATTTTCAATACTGTGTCTACTACAATCATTTGCTGGTAAGTGAAAGAATATTTTGCAATAAACACGGCCATGAACTGTTACCACTGGAACTGTCAAATAAACAGCACTGGAAGAGGTTTCATTTTTGCTTATAGTTTACCCTGACAACACCAAGAAATCCAGACAGACAAAGTTTCTTGTATGGCAGGTAAGTATCAATTAAAGACTAATTTAGTTTTCATTTTTTTTTAAATGGTTTGAACCCGGGGGTAACATGTGAAGGTATAGTCTGATCGTCCGGGTGAGTGTAGTCCTGAGAAGGACTGTTGTCGGTGGCAGTGACTGACGTTTCGACAACCTGTGCGGAAGTCATCATCAGAGTCAAGTGAATGATTGTTGTCAGTAGAATGTTTTTATTCCAGTTCGTGTGAAATGATCGGTTGGTTTTGCCGTGATGTTATTGGCTGTAAGACTCAAGTGACGTAAGTCGGTCGTGATTGGTCTGTTTCGGTCTGTCGGTAAAGTTAGGTTGTTCTTTTTCGGTCGTTTGTGATGTTTATGTCGTGAATGAGTCGTTTGTATGGGGCGGGTAGTTGTTGACATCTGTTTAGGGGAGTCTGTTCTAAGTTAGTAAACCAGCTTTCCAGAGTCAGTCGTTGAAAATAGTCAGTGCTGTAGGTTAGGCATTGCGCAGAGTCCCAGTCAATGTTGTGGTTGGTAAGTCGATGGTGTTCAGCAATGTGATTGCTGACATCACCTTTCCTCGTCGCCCGTCTGTGTTCAGTCAGTCTTGTTGTGAGGTTTCTGCCAGTCTCACCGATGTAGGAGGCTTGGCAGTCGGAACAATTGATCTTATAAATCGTTCCCTGTCTGTTCCTCGGTTCGTCTTTGTCTTTAACGTTGGTTAGTAACTGACGTAGTGTGGTGATGGGTTTGTGGGCGACGCGGATATTGAAGGGTAGTAAGATGCGCGAGATGTTTTCAGACATGCCTTTTATGTACGGTATGGTTGCTGTAGTCGTAGGGGTTGCGGTGTCGTTTGTTTCGGTAGTGGTAGTGGGTCGGTGAGTGTTTCGTCGGATGAAGTCGTTGTTGTAGTTGTTCTTCGTAAAAACACGGTGAAGGTATTTGTTCTCGTCGGATAAGCTGTATCCTGTCGCGCGTGACTTACCCTTCGCGCTCTCCTCTCATTCACCTTGTATTTGCCTCCGCTCGCTTAAGGTGGCTCGTACTAGTTTCCTCGCGCGGGGAACAGATAACTCTTGCGTCACGCGCGAGATTAAAAGACGAAATTTTAAAACAAAGATGGCGGCGCGAGGATTTTTTTCTACTTATGTGAGAAGTTTACCTAAGAGCTTGTATTTGTGTGTTGAGCGGCCACTGTGAATGCAGGGGATAGAAACTAAAATAGAGGACTATTTTCGGAGAATAAAGGCTGATAGTTTCGAAAGAAACTGCTTGGGGCTGCGTCGGTGGGAGTAACGAAATAATTTGGATATATCAACAAAGTAGAAATGGTAAATTGGCCACCGTAATGATTACAAAAGCTGACGTTTCGAGCGTTAGCCCTTCGTCATTCGCTCCGACGAAGGGTTAACGCTCGAAACGTCAGCTTTTGTAATCATTACGGTGGCCAATTTACCATTTCTACTTTGTTGATATATCCAAATTATTTCGTTACTCCCACCGACGCAGCCCCAAGCAGTTTCTTTCGAAACTATCAGCCTTTATTCTCCGAAAATAGTCCTCTATTTTAGTTTCTATCCCCTGCATTCACAGTGGCCGCTCAACACACAAATACAAGCTCTTAGGTAAACTTCTCACATAAGTAGAAAAAAATCCTCGCGCCGCCATCTTTGTTTTAAAATTTCGTCTTTTAATCTCGCGCGTGACGCAAGAGTTATCTGTTCCCCGCGCGAGGAAACTAGTACGAGCCACCTTAAGCGAGCGGAGGCAAATACAAGGTGAATGAGAGGAGAGCGCGAAGGGTAAGTCACGCGCGACAGGAGGAGTGCGTGACTCGCGCCTCCTCTCACGAGTGTCTTCCTTTTCGTGTTCGCCTCGCGCTTAGCTACGCTTTCAGCAAAGCCTGTGGTCGCCGCCTGACAATACAAACAATACAAAGATATGAAGGATTCAAAACAAAGGGAGGGGGGGAGGCTTTCAATATTATTATAATTATTATCATTATTTTTCTTTTATCAAGGATAACATTCTACAATCCCACGCGAAATCGAACATTGTAAAGAGCAACTAAGTGAAAGCTTAACACAAACAGATGATCTTGTAATTTTCCTTTAGTTTTGTTTGTTGATAAAGTAGCAGTGGTAGCTCTCGACTGATGTCAGCTTTTAAATTCCAAACATTAAGCAAGATCCCGATTCAGAATTTCGTTAATCCCTTAAGAGGTCATTCAGTTCAATTCTCCTGTTATCAAGATAGCTTTTTAAGAGACCTGAAGTTCTCGCCACTTCTAACCTGAGAAAAGTTCTCTTGTGGGTTACATGTACACGTAGTCGTGCCACTTGATGTTTAGGATCGAGCGCAAAGCACTGCTGGTGGAAGCGTTCGAGAAGACTCACTTGTCTTCTGTACAGTGTCCAGGTTTCTACACCGTATAGGAGTGTGGAGATGACAACGGCTCTGTAAACTTTGATTTTGGTTATGAGACGGAGGGAGTGGTTTTTCCAGACTCGTTTGGACAGTCTCCCGAAGGAACTGCTAGGTCTTTGTCGGTGGAAACATCATTGGATATCACACTACCAAGGTACGTAAAGTGTTCGACTGGGTTTATGTTGAACCGTCATTAGTGATGTGGGGAGGGGAGTAGTTTTCCATGGGTGGTGGCTGGTACAGCTCCTCACTCTTTTTTAGGCTGATGTTAAGGCCAAAGGCCTTGGACTCGTCAGACAAGTGGTTTACCAGGTGACGTAGAGCAGTTTCTGTATGAGCGAGGAGTGCACAATCATCAGCGAAATGCAGTTCTGTGATAAGCTTCTCTACGGTTTTGGTGTGGGCTAGCAGCCGTCGAAGGTTGAAGAGACTGCCGTCTGAGCGGAAACGGATATAGATTTCATCTAGGACCTCCTCTTTTGCTTCCTGCAACATCATGCTGAAGGAGATAGAGAAGAGGGAGGGTGCAAGCACATAATCACGTGGTACTAACTAGATTACATTATGGTATAATTATCTTCGCTTGTGCGATAGGTCAAATACTACATTCCCCCACACTTAGCTGAAAACTATGATTTCTGCATTTACTCGCCAAAACCTAAACGAACTGGAGCCTTTCTCTCATGCGTTGGATACCGAGGTCGTTGAATTGGTTGGTTTGTGTCAGGTGGCACGCCAGGACTAGTTGGTGGAGTCGCACTTGCAGCGTTTGCGTGCTCTAGATCGCTAGCATTTTCAATCCCCTTTCAGATTTTCCTATCTTTCTTTCTCTTCCAAAGTTTGAGGTGTCTCGTGACTTACTGGTGCGGGTGTCATCGCAAGATTGCGCGATTGCTCAAAAGTGTCGTCAATAGCAATGGCTGGTGCACAACCCGTACTTTCGAAACTCTTTTCGCGAAGCTGGTCGGTGCGTCGCTTCCAAACTTTGTCATCGACTTGCACCTCATACGAAACGGGACTGGTTCGCTCTACTACGGTTCCTTCTAGCCAATTCGGTTCTCCTCGAAAATTCTCAACCGAAACCTCCTCTCCAACTGAAAATTCACGGTCTCTTGACAAATTATCGAAATTCCCTTTATCTTCTTCCTGTCTCGCGGAAACCTTACGTCTGAGGTCTGGGTGCATCAAATCTAGCCTGGTTCGCGGACGTCGATTTAAAAATAACTCAGCTGGTGTTCTGTCTGTAACGCTACTTGGAGTGGTACGATAACTCAATAAAAATCTCGCCAAATTCCGTGAAACCGAATCACTACCTACAGTCTTGAAATACTTCTTAAAAGTCTCAACGAATCTCTTGACAAGACCATTCGAACGAGGGTGGTATGGACTCACTAGTATGTGCTTTATGCCATTCTGTTTCATGAACTCAGGAAACTCCTTCGAAGTGAACTGCGGACCGTTCTCATTAACTAGTTGTGAGGGTAACCCGAACCTCGCGAACATATGCCTCAGTTTATCTATCGTTGTAGGGCTAGTTACGTTAGGCATCGTCTCGACCTCTAACCACTTAGAATGACTACCTACCACCACGAGAAACATTTTGCCCATAAACGGACCGCCAAAATCTACGTAAATCCGCTGCCATGGCATTTTTGGCCATTCCCACGAATGCAACGGTGCTGTTGGCGGCTTATTGCGCGCTAGCTGGCATTCTTCGCACTTCTGAAGCATTGCTGAAATATCCTGATCGAGTTTTGGCCACCAAACATGAAGACAAGCTAAGGATTTCATGCGAACTATGCCTGGATGACCAGTTTGTAGCTCACCAAGAACTCGCGAACGTAACGGCTCAGGGACAATAACACCGATTCCCCTCAAAAGACAACCTTCCTCCGTCGTTAACTGGTGTCACCTCTGAAAATATGCCGAAAACTCTGGGTTGACTTTTTGCGGCCAGCTGGTCATTGTGTATTACAACATGAGACAAAACTGGATCTGAACGCGTACTCTTTCAAACTTGCTCAGCACTTATCGGCAAAGTCTCGATTTGTATCACGTTAATTTGCTTAGCCTCGTCATACTTGTCCTTACTCTCAGTCGGCAAAGGCAAACGACTCAGACAATCAGCATTGGCATGTTTCTCAGTCGAGCGAACCTCAACGTTGTACTGTTACGCGGACAATGTGATCGCCAATCTCTGCAATCTCACAGCTGCCACAGCCGGGATCGTGTTCTTCGGACCTAGTAAAGTTACTAACTGCTTATGATCGGTCACCAATAAAAACTTCCTTCCGAACAAATGCTGGTGAAATTTCTTAACACCGAAAATTATGCTCAGCGCTTCTTTCTCAATCTGCGCGTAGTTGCGTTCACTATTATTAAGCGTGCGTGATGAACATGCGAAACGACCGCACCTACACCGTACTGGGATGCGTCTGCGTCTAACATCAACGGCAGATCGTTGCTGCAGTGCATCAAAACCGGTGAAATCGTTAACTTTTGCGTCAGGTTATCGAAAGCTTCTTGTTGTGCCTTTCCCCACAGGAATTCACAGAGTCACGTAACAACTCATTTAGCAGATGTACTGTGCTACTGTAGTTACTGATGAAACACTGAAAATAGTTAACCATGCCTAGAAAACTCCTCAATTGTGACTGATTTTCGGGCGGTGGCACGTCGTGAATCACCTGAACTTTCTTCTTCTCTGTCGCATGCAAACCGCTAGCGTCTATGCAAAAACCAAGATACTCAACCCATGGCTGCATGAATTTGCATTTGTCGAGCTTTAACCTTAATCACCCCTTGTAAATATAATAATTAAGGAGTAGGTTTTGTCCACTGTTACATAATTATGTGGGCTCAATGTTCTTGATAAGAATATTGGCCTCTTTTCTTACATGCACACTCATTATTGAAATCATGTTCGACTATAATTGCAATTTGAGTTTCTGTGTTCTACTGTAAATAAGGAAAGTATTCCTGTGCAATTTAAAATTTAATTTGGGAACAGTTTGCACTCAAATGATTAGTATTAGTTAATACCTGTACAGGTATAATATCTTCAACATTAATATTTACATCTTGGGAGCAATCTATTGAATTTACTTAAATGAAAGTGAATTTCAAGAAAGAAAAGCCCTTATTCAGGGCAGTTATTGTACAACTGTAACTTAATCAATAAACACTGAAGGAATTAAAATACGACTTTCTGACCAGTTAACCTGGAAGAGTGGAAAAGACGGCTACTAACAGTTTACCTGAGGGGTTTACCTTATATACATTATGCCTGTTACAATAACCTCTTTTTTTGTTCTGTGTTTATCATTTATAGTTTACAGATTTGACTAATTGGGCTCGCCAATTGTTACTATTCTTTCACCAACTAGAAAAATAAAAACACCAAATTGAAATCATGGCAGGAATGCATTCAAGGAAAATTCAAATAAAACTGATGGAAACCGGTCGTTGCGATACAACTTCACGACCAAAATAATTACACGCAAATTTTGATGATCACTACAAGTGCAGTTCGCGTTGGTAAAGGAAAACTAAGGGTGAATAATCTTCGTCTTTTATCGGAGACCTTTTACACCTCGATAGGCTCCTTGCACTAAGAAGTCAAGTGATCTTTTCCGCCATGTTGGAGGGCAAACAAATCGGTTGCTACGGGAAACAATGGCTGCCTCGTGAGACGACGAAAGGGGAGTGACGGAAATATTTGCTCTACTTGCTTCTTGGTTTCGGAACAAAACGATCTTTATCCACTAAGAACTCTCAAAAAGAGCGACTGTAATAGTTGCAGACCTACTTATGTATTTGAGGTGTCGGAAAGCTCCATATTTGCTCGTGTTTTCGCGTTCGTATAATCCGCACTTTGCCAACTGGTATGTCATATCATTTTTTAAAACTCCTTTCAACGCCGGTTTTGTCTATTTTTTAAGTTGATATTGTTAGGCGATGATAGTCGAGTCAATGTAGTTTCCAGAATGGTAGCGAATAAAACATTTCTGAGTGAAGGTGAGAAAAAATAAGTTTGTTTACTTGTATCCTCACCATATACTGGTTCTATTTCAGATAAAGAGATCACAGAGTGTTGTGGAATTTTAGATCTTTTGGAGCCTAATAAAAGTGTGATGGCTGATAAGGGTTTTAATATTGATGATCTATTATGTAGTAAAGGGGTAAAGCTAAACCTTCCACCATATCTTTTAAATCGTGCACAGTTTTCACCAGAGGAAGTCAAAGAAACAAAAACCATAGCCAAAGTCCGGATTCATGTGGAGAGGGCCATACGCCGAATTAAAGAATATCATCTTTTCGACAATGAAATTCCTTTGTCACTTTTGGGCACTGTTAATCAGATGTGGACAGTGGCATGTTTGCTTGTAAATTTTCAGGGACCATTAATTTTGAAAAATAATCTGTCTTAGCA